GTTCTCAAAAGGAACAGATTTCTCAAAAGGAATCCTTTGGCTCAAATTCACTCCATCCATCCATCCATCCATCCATCCTTCAGAAGGAGAATCAAGCCTCCATGACACAGACCCCAAAAGAATGCCTCAATCCCCACCTTCTCACTGAGGAACAACTTTCTCAAAAGGAACAGATTTCTCAAAGGGAATCCTTTGGCTCAAATTCACTGCATCCATCCATTCATCCAGAGTGCTTACACCCACCCTGCCTTTCTGTAAATATTGGAAAACACGGTAGCTTGCATTTGGGGTACACAGCTTAAAACAGGAGCATTAGAAATGGAAAGAACACGAGCCCGAGCTGCTCTTCTGACTCTCTGTAGTGGTACTGGAGGACCTAGCAAAAGAGAGCTGGCAAAAGTCCTCTCCCCAGTCCTTCGATAGCCCTGCTGCAACAAATGGTCTCTGTCGTCCACCAGGTGAATATAGCTCTGCCTTCGGAAAGCAGCTGCTAAGCTTTGTCAGCAACAGATGCCAACAGCTGGGAGGAGGCACAGTTGTTACAGCAGCTCAGGTACAGTTTTCATCCGATTTGCAATACCTTGAAAACCTTCTGCACTTGTGATACCACAGACAAGAAGAAATCCATGTGCTCCATGGGAAATAAGCAGTAGTAATGCAGAGTCCCTTTTTCTGTTATGGCTAATAACTACCGGCTGGCTAACAACCACCGGTGGATCTCTACAAAACCATTTAGAGGCTTGTTTTGCACAAGAATGCCATTGTTCAGTTTGCTCATTAAGGTGACAATAGATTGCTCCAGAGCAAAATCCATAATATATAATTTCCAGAAAGCCTCCCCAAATTTTCCCCCAGAGATACCTCGGGTGCTCATTGTGACAACTTCAAATGTCTCTCCCAACCCAATCCCCTAACCCAGGGGTGTCGAACTCATTTGTCATGAGGGCTGGATCTGACATAAATGAGACCGGGCCATGTGTGCCATAAAATGTAATGCCAGGTAGCGGAGATATAAACTTTCTAAAGGACACAAACACAAATATTTTTTTTAACTTAAAATAAAAACATGCTTAAAACATTAGCTTTGTAAGCTGCAAACCTACTTTTGATTTGTTGACATTCACCACAGAAATCTCATGCTCAGACTTCTGAGTCTAGGGCCCAGGTGAAGACATGAAATGGCTGAGTGATTAAGAGAGTCTGGCGAAGCAAGCTAGGATGCAGCAGCAGCAGTAGCAGAACTGAAAGCAGGAGATGGCCACTTCCACTGTGGGCCTGATGGAAGCCCTCTTGGGGCCTGATTTGGCCCCCGGGCCGCATATTTGACACCCCTGCCCTAACCCATCTGGAGAAACCACCTGGGCAACTTTTACTTACTTTACTGTGAACTCACGCATCCAGACCACAGCCAACCTCTAGCGAATATGTGACAAAATCGGAGAGGGGATTCATAGGGTTGCCAGCCTCCAGGTGGTGGCTGGAGATCTCCCAGAATTACAACTGACCTCCAGGCTACCGAGATCATTTCCCTGGAATAAAATGGCCGTTTTGGAAGGCGGGCACTATAATTTTACACACAGACACAAACCCCACCCTCCCCAGGCTCCACCCCTCAAATCTCCAGAGATTTCCCAACCTGGAGCTGACAGGCAGTGGACGGACCACAGAAGCTCGACATCTGAAGTGCAATTTGAACCCCAGCTTGGCCCACAACGACAACAATATCTTAAATCATATGTATTCCACAACTGGACTTCACTATCGGCTTGTGTCCAACTTGTTCTCAATTCATTGCTGATATTGAACCAGTACAACCGGTGAGTGGACTGCTTCCCCCAGGCTGGAGCTCTTTTTCGGTAACGGATCAGGGCCCGGGAACCAGGGTAGTACTTGAAGAGCAGAGGACACGGTGAGGCAAGAGAGAAGGGCTCCCCCCCACACACACATACCTCTCCCTCTGATCGTTTTCTACCAGTCAGGGCTCCTACGGAGGTACCTGCAGGGGAAATGGGCCTGCCACTGGAAGCCTTGTTCGTACCTCAGTGAGCGGGAAACAGATTTAAATACTGCCAAATTCTTTCTCTGCCCTTCTCCAAGTCTTGTTCTGTGATTCTAACGAGAGGCACAGAAGGTGATCACGAAGGACTACTGCTACTGCCTGTGGATTTTAAACACTGGGGAATTTCACATTACCCAGTTCCTCCCGGTTTCGAGCCGGTATTCTTCCGTTTTGAGGTGAACCGGTACAGGGCTGCCATTTCACACAGGGCTTGCCCCTACCGGAAATCAGCCAGATCAGAAGCGGTTTGGCATTTCAGACTTGCACCGCTTTGTTTTCCCGCCGTTTTCCTCCCGCGTGGGTGATCAATTTTTTTTTAAAAAAACGTTCGATTTATAGCGCTATAGCAGTATAACAAAACACTCCATGCATTCCAATGGGATTGATATAATGCTATTCCGTTATACCGTTATAGCGCTATAACGCTATAAATCGAACGTTCAAAAAAAAAAAAGCCGTGCGGGCGAAAAAAGGCGGGAAAAAGGCGTATCGGAACTGGGAGAGGGCACTGGAGACCACTTGGAAGTGGATGACAGGTAAAACGCTTCAGTCCCGGTTCCTAAACGGGACTGAAGCGTTTGTGTATGAAATGGCAAATAGATTCCGGAAGGGGTTCTGTCTGAAATGGGTTCTGTCTGAAATGACAGACCAGAACCCGTTTGAGAACCGGTTCCCTTCCGGAATCTATCGCTTGTCTGAAATTCCCCACTTACTCCATGAACAGCACCTTCTGCTAAAATTGTGCCTTGCATAGTATAATTTCAGTTTTAAACCTATTTGGCATATCGTAAGACTTTAGCTAATGTGCCACATTGCATTTAGCTTCACAGTATTCTGCACCTGCAGGCAATTTGCATTTCAAACCTCACCAGACCAACCCTAAATTTACACTGTGGCGGATGCATGTCAAGGCGACCAGGGAACACTTTTAGCATATAAAAATAGCAGATGCTGAATGAACCTCTCAAGGATCCAAATGCAACGGGAGTGAACACATTTATGGAACTTGGGAAACGTTCCAGTCGACAGCGGCGGTGCAAAGCCCACAGAAAGGGGTCCAAAATAGGGCGGCCAAGCCGCAGCGGGGGATCCGCACGTCTTCACAGGATCCTTGCCGCGGGGGACAGCGATACGCGTTGCACCACCGTCGCCTGGGATGGGGAGGGTAGGATGGTCAGCTCCAAGTTGGGAAACTTCTGGAGATTTGGGGGAGGACCCCGCCCTCAGTGGGGTACACTGCCATAGAGCCCACACTCAGCAGCAGCCGTTCTCTACAGGGGAACTGATCTCTGTAGTCTGGAGACGAGCTGTAGTTCCAGAGAAAAGCAGGGTATGAAAACAACAACTCTTCTTCTTCTCCTTCTTCTTCTCTTCCATAACACCTCCCTTGTGGAGGGGATACACTCCTTCCACAAGCCTGACTGAAAATGTATAGGAGCAGTGTAAGTGGGAAAATTAGAGAGGCCACCAAGACGGGGTCCAGGAAGAGCCTCACTTACAAAAGAAGGACTAGAGATGCTGTGAGTATTTTACAGGAGAAAGACGAAGAAGAAGAAGAAGAAGAAGAAGAAGAAGAAGAATTTATACCCCACCCTTCACTCATAGAGTCTCAGAGCAGTTTACAATCTCCTTTCCCTTCCCCTCCCCACAACAGACACCCGGTGAGGCAGGTGGGGCGGAGAGAGCCAGTGTTCCCTCTAAGCTGAGTTAGTGTGAGCTAGCTCACAGTTTTGTAGCCTCTGGCTCACACATTTTTGTCTTCGCTCAGGAAAGATGGCTCCAGAGCAAACTAATTGATGCAGTAGCCGAATCACTCACTCACAACTTTAATGCCAGTAGCTCACACAGTAGAATTTTTGCTTCCAAGACTATACAGCTTAGAGGGAGCACTGGAGAGAGCTCTGACAGAAACTGCTCTTTTCCAAGAACAGCTGTGCCAGAACTATGGCTTGCCCAAGGTCATCCAGCAGGTGCATGTGGAGGAGTGGGGAATCAAACCTGGTTCTCCCAGATTAGAGTCCGCGCACTTAACCACTACATCTGTACCTTAGGGAATCTCAGAGTGGCTTACAATCACATAGGGTTGCCAGGTCTGGGTTGGAAAATACCTGGAGACGTTGGGGGTGGATCCAGGAGAGGGTGGGGTTTGGGGAGGGGCCTCAGCATGGTACAATGCCATAGAGTCCACCTTTCAAAGCAGCCATTTTCTCCAGGGGAGCTGATCTCTGTCAGCTGGAGATCAGTTGTAAAAGCGGGAGATCCCCAGGCCCCACCTGGAGGCTGGCAACCCTACAATCACATTCCCTTTGTCTCCCCACAATAGGCACCTTGTGAGGTATGTGGGGCTCAGAGAGTTCTGAGAACTGTGACTGGCCCAAGGTCACCCAGCAAGCTTCACGCAGAGGAATCAGACCCGGTTCTCCAGGTTAGAGTCTGCCACTCTGAACCAATACGCCACGCTGGCTCGGGGTGTGTGTGTCCCCCCCTATCATCCCACCCCTCATCTATTGTCTCCCACGTTGAATTTTTGACTGTGAATGCCTCAGGGCAGGGACCTGTCTTCTCCTTTGTTCTTCTATGAGAACCAGGAATACTGAAGGCACTGTGGAAACACTTAAAGATAATAAATAGAAGAAAACAGTAGGAAAGCAAGCAGGAAGAAGCTGAAGATGGGCATGAAATAAATCGGCCTCCTTGATTAGCCAACATGTCTCCAAGCTTTATTAAGCCGCTCTACCAGGCAGTAAAAGACCTGAGACGGAAGAAAGAGCCTTTCTGACGTTCAAACCCAGCAGAACTGAATTTCCAGAAAAACCAGCTTTGTGAAACAAACAAGAACTCCGGCGCTGGCAGTGACCACACTCAAGAGTCTTTAGGCTAAGAAAGGACCTGTCAAGGCAGCGACAGTAACCTTTTCAAAAATTACTCACAGTGAGCTTACCCTGAGGTAGTTGAGGGTGAAGTTAGTCAGACCCATACGCGTGATATTTTTGGACAGCTGCTCCAGGACCTGGGGGTCTTGTGCCTGAACCCAAAAACAGAGACATGCTTAACGTTCTCACAAGCGAAACAAAAATCAATAGTAACATCGTAATTTGACGGGTCTGAAAATTAAGCAGTTCTAGATTCCAGCATTTAAAACCAGACCACCAGTTTATAAAAAGCACCAAAGATCTTCCCCATTTGCTGTAGGAAGGACAAATCAACGGCTACTCCATTTCTACCACTGAATCAATAATAATAATATTAAGTATTTTACAGCAGTTTAGAATGCTTGTTACAACAGTCATGTAAAGCAGGTGGGTATTTCCATATTTATTTATTTAAAATGTTTCTATGCCACCTTGCCACTCAATTCTGGTTCTCAAGGGAGCAAACATTAAACCATTTCCAACATTAAAGAGCATTTAAAATACAAATATGTGTAAAATATTTAAAACAATGAAATAAAACATATGAATGCATAAAAACACGCAAAAAAGGAGGGCCAATAAGAGAAGAAAAAGATATTGGATTGGTAACCTGTCCTTCACTCAGAGTCTCAGAGCGACTTACCGTCTCCTTTCCCTTCCCCTCCCCACAACAGGCACCCTGTGAGGTAGGCGGGGCTGAGAGAGATCTTTCGAGAACTGCTTTTGAGAGAACAGCTCTGAGTGAGCTTGTGACTGACCCAAGGTCACACCAGCAGTTGTATGTAGAGGAGTGGGGAATCAAACGTGGTTCTCCCAGATTAGAGCCCGCCGCTCTTAACCACTACACTAAATTGTAGTTACTGAGAGAACGTCAACCCAACGCAAACCCTCTGGCGGAAGACAACAAGAGAGGGACAAAGGCAAACCTTCCTGGGACGGACTGGTGCCACGACCAAGAAGCTCCTTTCTCGGGCTGCCACCTGTCTTGCTTCAGATGGTGGGAGCCCCAAAGCAGGGCCCCTGAAGATGAACTCAGCAAGTGCATAGATTCATACGGAAGCAGGCCGGTTCATTTTAGGTAGGCTGTGTAGGTCAGTCCTAGCACCTTGAATTCAGCCCACGAGCAAACTGGGAGCCAGTATAGATAGGGAAAAGTAAAACAGTGGTATGGTCTCTATAGCCCGCTCCAGTTAACACCCTGGTGGCAAAGTTCTATATGCAGCTTCTGGACAGTCTTCAAGGGCAGCCCCACATAAAGTGTATTGCAGCAATCTAAGCTAACAGTTACCAAGGCATGCACCACAATGGCAAGATATTTCCTGCTCAGGAAGGGCTGAGGCTGGTGAAAGGCACGCCTGGCCACTGCTGCTACCTGTTTGTCCTTACTAGAGGGTGGAGGCTGTGGCAGAGAGAATATTGGCTTGTCTAAGACGACCTATCAAGTTCGTGATACAAGCATGATTTGAACTGAGGGGTTTGCACTCAAACATCCTTGTATATGGCCTGAGTGATGCCTGAGCAGCACCAGCGTAACACTTTGGTTTATGATGCTGAATAACCCTAAGATTTACTGCTGGAGCAGCTTACCTTGGGTTTGCAATCCTTACGTTCAAAATGTTTGGCACTTAAAACAAGCAAGCACACGAACAAACATAACCACCAGTGAAACTCCTGAGGGCTACTTACATGCATGGCTAAAATACTGCGAGGGACTAACTCTCTGTATTGTCTAATCGTAAAGTGCCATGTCTTTATTCTCATCAGGTCGTCAAAAGTAAATTCCAAGATAAGACGTCCTTCTGTGCACACCTAGAATAAAGGGGGTGGGGGGGAGAAAAAACAAACTTCTCTGAGATAAATTTAGGGGGGGAATAACCCAGTTTAAGAAATGCTGAATGCTGACTGAATTTTATGTTCAATTTTACTGAAGCAATTCTGTCACACCGCCCCCCCCCCCCCCCAAGAAGAAAGAATTAAGGAAAGCAATTCAGTAGACAATGGTTGATCCGGCTGTAGATTTTATAGCGTTACGGGCTCTAAATCTTATTTATCACATCTTTTTTTGTTTCCCCTCTGAAACAGCGGCTAATTAATGACACTAAGCCTTTCTGTTTGCGGTTGTGCATACATAATACCTAACTGCTCAACCAGAAACTTCCATATTGTTTTGTGTTAAGATCTTCATGGGCACAGCCTCATCTAGTAACTAGGGCTTTTCTGACTTCTATCCGATGTCACATAGGGTTGGATCCAGCCAACTGTCCCACAGCATCCCACCTAATCCCCCACATACTACAGATCTGGTCACACATGGTTTTTGTTCATGCATCTCCCATGATCCTCAGCATAGCCTTTCAGTGGTCAAAGGGGAACTCCCCCCCCCTTTCTCTCTGCTTGGATCAGTTTACCTGTTGTGTAGTGGGTTTGACGCAACGAATGATCAGGAAACATAGTGATATTCAGCACATGTTTACTAGTACACAACATAACACACAAATACCGGCCAGAGGCTCAACTATATACAGTCTCTGTGGACCACCCACAGGTCCCATTGGTGGGTTTAAACTTCCCGCCAAGGTTCCTATTGGTGACCGCTAGAGGTTTCAGGATCCTAGTCCCTATTGTCTCTATGTATCCAAGCTTCTGTAAAATACACTCTCGCCTAGTGGCAGTCAGTGGACATAACATTACCCATTCCTCCTTTCCTGTTCTTTGCTTTCTCTGGTTGTATCTTCCGTTCCCTTTTGTTCTTTCTGTTCCCCCTGCTGCTTGGAGGATGCCCGCCTCTCTATGGCTGTGGCAACATATCGGCTCTAATTAAGCCACTTGAGTTTGGGACGCTTTGCGTCTATCACACAGCGGCTACTAAGCTGGCGTCACAGTGCCGCAGGCCCGTGGCCAGTGGTTCACATCAGTGGAATTTGCTTTCCCCCACTTCCTCACCCAAACACCAGGTTTTGCATGCGTGTGTGTGTGCTTCCATGCAGGAGTGCCATGGGCAGCCGATAAAGGTGCTGAAGTGCACCTCGGAATGGGGTTGGAAGAAAAAAAGAGACGCGCTGGAAATGAAGAGGAAAGATCACATTGCTTATGCATTTCCATGGCACACCTGGGTGATCAGGTGCCCAGAAACCCATTTCACTGAGGCAGCCACCAGAATTTGCGTGAGGTAGGGGCGACTGGGGCACAGGAGCCAGATGTGTGCGTTTGATCATTTTCTCTTCCATTCTCTCTCTCTCTTTCTGTCTCTCTTTCTTTCAGTCTTTCTGTTTCTCTCTCTCTCTGTCTTTCTGATAATTAAGGGAAGAGAGATTATATTTGAATAGTTTCTGTATGTAAATTTTAAAAAAATGTTGGCCCTCTCACATTTTTAAAGCTAGCACCATTTTTGGCTCATGGGATAAAATTTTTGCTCATGGGAATGCACACCTTAGAGGGGAAACTGCGGCGTCTGCATCCAAGCTTTTCTCATTAGTGGTAGCCAAGTTGGTAGGCAGGGACTCTGGCACCTCCTCCCAAGTCACCACATGTCTCATTTTGATTTTATTTTCAAGCCATAAAGCAGCAGGAAGGCTTTCTGGTAGACCATCAACTTAAGCAGTCAACCTACGCGGAGTATCTTTAACAAAAACCCAAACGCGACCTCGCTCTTCAATTCGACAGAGCAGCTGAATACAGCACACAGCAGGTAGAGTGATACCTTTAGCAATGTTTAGCCGTGGCAGAGTGGAGAAGTGAAACTCTTGGCCGTGATCCCTATTATGACAATGGTGGGAGTGATACGCATGTCTCTTTTTGTCAATGAAACAGAAGCACTGAGGTATTGCTATCCAGTTTGGGCCATCGAGTTCTTTCTTTGCTGGGATAGAGTTGGTACAACTGCCCAATGGTCACTGTCCTCCATCAAATGACTGGGCCACAGCATCCTCCACACTGGTGCCAACATTCACAAGGCAACTGACATTCTGAGCCCAGCTCTTTTGGGAAGGGATGGGGGCACAGCTGCTCGCCAGGGCAGAAAGAACTGGACGGGAGAACGACTATGAGATGACCAGAAGTGGTCTTGGTGGCTTAGAAACATTCTTCCCCGTGGAGATCTGACAAGGAATTGGTCCTTTGGAAAGCTACATTAAATTTTGTTCTATTTTTTTACATTAAAACATTTAATATACAAGTAACCCCAGAAAGAGTGAAGTGGCTGGGCCAAAGCCGAAAGGACGCTCAGCTGTGGATGTGTCTGATGGTGAAAGGAAAGTCTGATGCTGCCAAGAACAATACTGCATAGGAACCTGGAATGTAAGATCTATGAATCAAGGTAAGCTTGACGTGGTCAAAAATGAGATGGCAGGACTTGTAAAAAACCAAAATGCTTATTAAAAACATGACTAAACCTCAAGCTCACCAGCTGCAAAAATTAGCAGGTTTAGAAATTCATAAGAAGATCAAATATTTAGGAATAAACATAACAAACAGATGCAGTTCTTTGATGGAAAACAATTACATGGAACTGATGAAAGAAATTAAGAAAGACTTTGAAAAATGGAAAAAAAATTCAAATATCTTTAATGGGAAGAATTGCCACTATTATTACCAAGATTGATCTTCTTATTTCAAACAATACCTATTCTTCAAAACCAAAAATATTTTAAAGAACTTGATAAAATGATGATACAATTTATTTGGCAAGGTAAAAATTCAAGAATTAAGCTTAAAGCGTTAAAAGATGCTGAAGAGAGAGCTGGCTTCACATTACCAAATTGATTGCTTTATTACAGAGCAGCAGCTCTGACATGGATAAAAGATTGGATTACTTTAGAAAATACAAGACTTCTGAAAATAAAAGGACATGATCTTTTGTTAGGCTGGCATGCCTTCATATGGTATGGGAGGGCAGATACCCACAAATATTTTAAACAACATTTTATTAGAGCCTCTTTATTGAAGGTATGGGAAGAATCTAAAAACAATTTTTACACCAAGACTCCAAAATGGGTTGCTCCATTAGAAGCCTTTACAAATCCTAATTTACTTCAAGAAGAAACAATTCTAAGATATGAAGAGTTATTAGATAGCAGAAATGAATTGAAACCAATAGAAACTTTAACATGGTGGCAAAAAAACTCAAATTGAATCAAGATATAGCAAAGATAAGCCATCAGGCTTTTATGACAAAATATTAGAAATAGATAAGATATTGATGTATGCTGATGAAAAACTCATTAAGAAACGTTATGTATTGCTTTTAGAAAATAAGACCCAAGACAAAGTTGTTAAAAATGTTACGATAAAGTGGGCACAAAACTTGAGTAATAGTATTGAGCTGGACCAATGGTCATAGGTATGGAAAAAATGTAAAAATTACAAAAGCAATTTCATATAAGGAAAATATGTATAAGATGTTTTATAGATGGTATATTACGCCTGATAAATTGGCTAAATTTGACCCTAAATGCTCAAATGTATGTTGGAAGTGTCAAAATAATGTTGGATCCTTTTACCATATGTGGTGGTTATGTGATAAAGCAAAAAAAATACTGGGCCTGGATTCACAGAATTTTACAAAAAATTTAAAATGTACAATACCCTTTGCTCCAGAAATATTTTTGTTGAATATTCTACCTGAAAATTGTAAAAAAAAAAAGATTCCTATCTTATATTGTATTTGACTACAACTGCTAGAATACTTTATGCTAAATATTGGAGAAGAACAGAAATGCCTTTGAAAGAAGAAATTTTAAGCAAAATTTTGGAAATGGCAGAAATGGACAAACGAACTTTAATTTTGAAAGGACAAGAAGAAACTACATTTGAAAATACATGGTCAAGATATTATAAGTGGTTTGAAGACTATACTAAGTAAACAATATAGACATTTAAAACTTGTTAAGGATATACAAAGTATAAACTTGATATATTTGCAAGTGATATATAAATGTATGATAAATTAGGCATGAGTCTGTCAAAGAGGAAATTGAAAGGAAAATTCCCCCCCTCGTATGTTTGTTATGTCTTTACAATAAAAGAAAAATTACGACTAAAAAAAATGAGATGTCAAGACTGAACATCGACATCTTGGGAATCAATGAACTAAAGAAGACGGGAATAGGTGAATTTAACTCAAAAGACCATTATATCTACTACTGTGGCCAAGAATCCTGTAGAAAAAATGGTGAAAAAATGGTGTGGCCTTTATACTCAACAAGAGAGTGCGAAAGGCAGTAATGGGATACAATCTCAAAAACGACAGGATGACCTCAGTCTGAATGACTGTTCCTTGGAAGGCCAGATACTGAAGCTGAAGCTCAAATACTCTGGCCACCAAATGAGAAGGGAGCACTCACTGGAGAAGACCCTGATGCTGGGAAAGATTGAAGGTCAAAGAAGAAGGGGACAGCAAAGGATGAGATGGTTAGACGGTGTTATCGAGGCAACAAACATGAAAATTAAGCAAACTCCGGAGGACCACGGAAGACAGGAGGGCCTGGCGTGATGTGGCCCATGGGGCCACAAAGAATCGGACTTGACTGTGCGACTGAACAACAACAAAAAAGGTATCTAGTCTAGGTCTCTCGAGCTGGAATGCTCCTCCTATTTAAGACCACAGGGCAGGGAAAGTCAACAGTCCAAGCGTGCAGGAGGACAGCATTTCCAAAAGGATCCTCCATGCTGCATGTGAACAGGTCTTGCTCTGCTGTGTTCCTGGCCAGGCAGAGACAACCAGGGCGCTGGCCCGGCCTTAGGGTTGCCCACCCCAGGTGGTGGCTGGAGATCTCCTGCTATTACAACGGATCTCCAGGTGACAGAGAGCA